AAAGAATTTTTTTGAGAAAATCTCTTTATTACATTAAAACTAAATACATATTCTATCAACTAATAGAGCTATTTTTTTAAAAGATATGACAGAAAATGACTTCTATACTTTTAAGATTTGCCCAATCATTAAAATGAAGTCTAAATCACGTGACTTGACAATATACAGACAGTCAACTCTCTATATAAATGTAATATCTCCACAAACTTCATATACAGTCAAACCCCATAAATGCACCCCCTTGGGACCAAGGGTCAGTGTTCATTTATGGAGGTGTGCATTTATGGAGAGAAGCAATTTCATTGGTCACAGATGATACACAATATTTTAAATACAGTAATACTAAAATAACTATCCATTGTAGTTTGTTTTGATGAATTTACTTTTTTTATATTGATATATCTTTCAATTTTATTAACCAATTTTATTTGTTTGTAGTATTATTTTTCTTGCTGTAATAAAAATGAATGTACAGTTTCAAGACCTTTAATGCTTCCTCAAGGCTTAATGTCATCTTCTCAAAATTGTCAGCAGATACATTCATTTTATTTTTATATATGCAAGCAAGTTCTTTGATTATTTTATCATCATCTGGAACCTCACAGGTAATATTTTCTTCAGGGATATTCAAAAATTCATCAACTTGCATTTTATGAAAACATTTAGTGACACAAAGTCATGAAATTGGATTGCATTACATATTAGAAATTATCCAATCAAAACAAAAAATTTGCCGATGATTTCTAAATTTATCCTACACGATGAATTTTATACATTAGTCACGTGGGGTGCATTTATGGAGGGAGTGAGTAGGACTAAAAAAATACCATGCAGTGCAGAGTATGTAGGGTGTGCATTTATCACTAAGTCCTGAGGTTGGGATCAAGACATAGTGTGCATTTATGGAGGTCTGCCTGTATATACAAATAAGGTTTCTGGTCCAAACTGTTTTCTCAAAGCCCAAACTAGTTTGGGCAATTTGGGCTTCTCAACATTTTCTATAAGCATGAACATTAAAAAACTATATGAATCAACTTGTTTTAACTTAAACAACTTTAAAATAATTTTGCTAATAACAAAAAGTAGTTTGGGCTTATAAAAAAATAATTTTTGCCCAAAGTATTTGGGCAATTTTGGCTACTAATAGAAGCAGTTTTGGCCAGAAACCTTAAATGGTACACATCATTTTTTCATTTCTTAAAAAATGCTACACAAGCGTTTTTTTTTTTTTTTTTTTTTTTTTTTTTTTAAACTAAGACTGCACTTCAAATTTATTAAACTTAGTAAAATATAATTAATACATGTTACATATAATGTTACCAAAAAAGAAATAATGACCCGCCACCCATGATACAAAGTAAATTGATGGAAGATCCAAGCCTTGCATTGGCTATCAGGATTTGAACAGGCCAACTGAATGTTTTAAGGATAGGCCACCTGCATCCGTTCTGAAGATAACCAACACACAACTAATCTATTAAAGAACCTGAATAATATTGTAACCATTCCTCCCCTAATATTATAGATTTACGAACTCCCTCTTGACCAGAAGCTAAACTATGTTGATTATTATTTCTATTATTAATACTAGGATTAGAGGAACTATTGTTTGGTTTCTTTTTTCTTTTTTCTTTTTTATTTATACCAGCATGTTCTTCTTCTAAAATAAATTGGTCACAACGAGGTGACCATATAAATTGTTCTATATCTAGGAAAATATTATTTAAGAAAACAGAAATAATGTTTTGTGTTATACTTTTGTTTTTTGAAGAGTTGTTAATAATCTTGGCCAATGATAAAGGTGCCACTCCTTTGATTAAGTCAATAAAGTTAAACTCATCTTCATTGCTATTAATTTTCCATATGGATTCATTTTGAAGATCTCTTGTTGAAAATTGTTTGTTGTTTGTAAACATTTTAACCAATTTAACTAAACGTTTTTTGTTGTTAAAAATAATTGAATCTATAATATTTTTTTGATTTTTGCATTTCCATACATGTTCAAAAGTTTCTATTTCATCACGACACATTGGACAATTCCAATGTTTATATAAGTCAGTGTGACTTTTTTTAACATGCTCTACTGTAGGTAATTCTTTAGTTAGATATTTGATCCTTCTAATTTTAATATGACTTGCCTTGAATGATGTATTTGTTGACACTTCATCATCGTTTAATGCAGCAAATTAAGAGCACCAATCCACATCTACTTCACAATATTTGTTGTTTCTGTATAAGTTAATAAATTGTTCAAAACCACGATTTCTTGATAAATCTGTAATAAAATGTCGTAAATGCTTTTCTACAATTATATTGTTCCAACGCGGAATATATGAGATTGAGAATAAATTGTCCAGAATAAAAGTTATTGGTAATGAATTATAACCATGCATCAATCTGGCTAATTCATCCACTTTGTTGTTAAAATGGTCACCACTGTGACCCTTGACTTTAACAAAATTTAAATTAATATTATTAATGTTGACATGTCATTAAGAATTGTCCATAATAAACTGTTTGAAGCTTCTTTAAATATATTCCTTAGCATCAACAGGTACTTGGAATTTTGTAGTGTATTAAAATGTTTGATAGAAGCTTTGCTGTCTGTGAAAATAGTGATCTGTGAGTTCTTTGGAGAAATTAATAATGCTATGATAATTGCTGCTACTTCAGCACGTGTTGATGATGGCCATTTTTCTATTGTAGCAGAGAAAGATATTTGAGGAGCATTCAATGCTGTTTGTAGTATTGCGAAGCTCATTGACATTTGTATAGTTCCCTATCTAAAAGGATTTACTAATTTTCTCTTATATACTTTGATTCGTGATCCACCAGTTAAGGAAAGGATTTAATAGTAAAACAAACAAGTTTACAAATGAGGAAGCAAAGTGAGCCATCAAGATTTTCATTTATGTCTTGAAAAAAATTATTGTAATTTGTTTCACAATTTTTTCAAAATTTATATACTCATTAATAACATGTCTATCTACCTTTATGCAATCAAAATCAAAAGATAATATATCCAGAGAATCCCACGAGATCTGTCCTGTGGCAAACATACATGACTTAGATGTGCTATTAGTCCATCTACTTGCACATGAAACAGTTCTTCATTTGTTGGCATTACTATTTCTGGTGTTGCTTTTCTCAAGATAGCAGCATACACACAATTTTGTTAGTATTGCATAATTGGTTGCTCAAAAGGTTTCCAACAGTTATTTTTATCTATAAATATATGTATATGTGTATAAATTATATGTATGTGAAAACATGGCAGGAGGTGACTTTACAATCATATTACACACACAAGATGTAGTTTATTTTCTGGGGGGCATGTTCATATTCCAATGTGAATTCTAATTTGATTTTAGTAGATAATGAAATTTTTTTTATTTACAATTATTTTAGTATGTCAAATACACAAAATTTGCTTTCAAGAATTTTAATTGATAAATAAGTCTGCCTAAAAAAATTTGCATGTCACAGGCCATATTGATTCGCATCATTAATAAATTGTTTAAATGTTACCATTGAATTGTTTCGCCCAATTATAAAAAAGCAAGATTCGCGTTAATATGATCAGTTGCTTAATTTGGCGGTGACATTCAATAGAGTTTTCCCAGTCCTATTCACATATGCATAGTCACGTTTTCGTGATATAAACTTTATTAAATCAATAACGTCAATCAATATCTAAAAGGATTTACTTTTTTTTTTTTTTTTTTTTAAACTAAGACTTCATTTCAAATTTATTAAACTTAGTAAAATATAATTAATACATGTTACATATAACGTTACCAAAAAAGAAATAATGACCCGCCACCCATGATACAAAGTAAATTGATGGAAGATCCAAGCCTTGCATTGGCTACCAGGATTTGAACAGGCCAACTGAATGTTTTAAGGCTAGGCCACCCGCATCCGTTCTGAAGATAACCAACACACAACTAATCTATTAAAGAACCTGAATAATATTGTAACCATTCCTCCCCTAATATTATAGATTTAAGAACTCCATCTTGACCAGAAGCTAAACTATGTTGAATATTATTTCTATTGTTAATACTAGAACTAGAGGAACTATTGTTTGGTTTCTTTTTTATTTTTTATTTTTTATTTATACCAGCATGTTCTTCTTCTAAAATAAATTGGTCACAACGAGGTGACCATATAAATTGTTCTATATCTAGGAAAATATTATTTAAGAAAACAGAAATAATGTTTTGTGTTATACTTTTGTTTTTTGAAGAGTTGTTAATAATCTTGGCCAATGATAAAGGTGCCACTCCTTTGATTAAGTCAATAAAGTTAAACTCATCTTCATTGCTATTAATTTTCCATATGGATTCATTTTGAAGATCTCTTGTTGAAAATTGTTTGTTGTTTGTAAACATTTTAACCAATTTAACTAAACGTTTTTTGTTGTTAAAAATAATTGAATCTATAATATTTTTTTGATTTTTGCATTTCCATACATGTTCAAAAGTTTCTATTTCATCACGACACATTGGACAATTCCAATGTTTATATAAGTCAGTGTGACTTTTTTTAACATGCTCTACTGTAGGTAATTCTTTAGTTAGATATTTGATCCTTCTAATTTTAATATGACTTGCCTTGAATGATGTATTTGTTGACACTTCATCATCGTTTAATGCAGCAAATTAAGAGCACCAATCCACATCTACTTCACAATATTTGTTGTTTCTGTATAAGTTAATAAATTGTTCAAAACCACGATTTCTTGATAAATCTGTAATAAAATGTCGTAAATGCTTTTCTACAATTATATTGTTCCAACGCGGAATATATGAGATTGAGAATAAATTGTCCAGAATAAAAGTTATTGGTAATGAATTATAACCATGCATCAATCTGGCTAATTCATCCACTTTGTTGTTAAAATGGTCACCACTGTGACCCTTGACTTTAACAAAATTTAAATTAATATTATTAATGTTGACATGTCATTAAGAATTGTCCATAATAAACTGTTTGAAGCTTCTTTAAATATATTCCTTAGCATCAACAGGTACTTGGAATTTTGTAGTGTATTAAAATGTTTGATAGAAGCTTTGCTGTCTGTGAAAATAGTGATCTGTGAGTTCTTTGGAGAAATTAATAATGCTATGATAATTGCTGCTACTTCAGCACGTGTTGATGATGGCCATTTTTCTATTGTAGCAGAGAAAGATATTTGAGGAGCATTCAATGCTGTTTGTAGTATTGCGAAGCTCATTGACATTTGTATAGTTCCCTATCTAAAAGGATTTACTAATTTTCTCTTATATACTTTGATTCGTGATCCACCAGTTAAGGAAAGGATTTAATAGTAAAACAAACAAGTTTACAAATGAGGAAGCAAAGTGAGCCATCAAGATTTTCATTTATGTCTTGAAAAAAATTATTGTAATTTGTTTCACAATTTTTTCAAAATTTATATACTCATTAATAACATGTCTATCTACCTTTATGCAATCAAAATCAAAAGATAATATATCCAGAGAATCCCACGAGATCTGTCCTGTGGCAAACATACATGACTTAGATGTGCTATTAGTCCATCTACTTGCACATGAAACAGTTCTTCATTTGTTGGCATTACTATTTCTGGTGTTGCTTTTCTCAAGATAGCAGCATACACACAATTTTGTTAGTATTGCATAATTGGTTGCTCAAAAGGTTTCCAACAGTTATTTTTATCTATAAATATATGTATATGTGTATAAATTATATGTACAGTATATAATAAATTATATTTATATGTATGTATATATATGTTTTAATTAAATAAATTTCTCACCTATTTTTTTTCTAACATTTTTTGTTATATGTTTCAGACCTGCTGTTCTCCCCTTAGAGTTTTATTGCTATCAAGATCACCATCAACACATATATCTAAAAGCATATCATGTTGGTCAAGTATTGGTGTAATTTTATTTAGAATAGCAATTAATATTGCATGTTCCATCTGTTTGGACATCAGGAAATTTTTCTGACATGGATTTACGTAATTATTACACTATTTACGTAAGTTTACGGCGGGCCCATAATATTATGCAAATAAGCATACAAAAATTATGCAATTATTACATCGAGTGTAAATATTACATAATTTTTATGCAAATATTACAACTTTACATATTAAAATTTACGGATGTAATATTGCGGCAGGGAAAATTTCCTGATGGATAATTTTCTTGGTGAAGGATCTTAGAATCTACAGTTTCATTCCTGATGATTCTAGATTTTCAACAACATGATAGGCAATAACTGGTTTGTGATTGTAATCTATAAATCAGGTAAGTATATTGCAAGTTTATTTATTTCTCTGTTATTTTATTTCTTAATCTAATAAAAAATATATAATTATCAAGATGATTTCCTTGAAATATAAATTCTCCACTAGCTTGATTTGCATTCCTTAGATGTGACCATGAAGTATCAAAACTAACAGAAAGGATATTCCGATCAAGAGATTTGACATGATTTATACATTCCATTGGTGTGTCTTTTGCACTCTCCTCTGCTTCTGTAGTCAAATTTTGGAAAAATCTTTTCTGGTTGTTATGAATTGTTTTTTTTTTTCATATTTGGTTAGCTGTTCCCATTGATGCAAGGAAGGTCTCATTTTGTTGATGATTCAATCCAGCTACCAAACTTGAGCCTGTAGCTAACAAATTAAAACCTGAATTAAGAGGTTCATCAGAATATTCAGCAATGCTATCACGCATAAGACACCTAATTGTTATTTTCATAGAAAACCAACATTGAATATTTCATATCTTTTGTTATTTATAAATTAACTTCACAATTAATGCAGGGTAGCCCAAGTAAGGTATTGTTGATTTGCGTTAATGAAAATAGTAGAGCCAAGATTGTTGTTGTTTATTGCTTGTTTTACAACATCATTAATATCATCTTGTTCTATTAATTGTTCATCCACATGACTTGTGGATTCATGATCTCTTGTTACATTTTCCTTTGCACATTTATATTTTTTATTTGCCTGGTAATATATTCTACTAACAAGCCTTGTGTGGCTTTATTATCCAATTCTAGGCCCCTTTCATCAATGATAATACCACTCTACTTTTTTCATTGTTGTATGTGGTGAGAAGTTTTCATTAGCACCAGAATTCCCTTTCACAATGATTTCTCCTTTTCTTTTCATTTGTTTTTGTATAGATTTGGTTTTTTTTCATTTTCAAGAATTCTTTTGTCTGTGAAATTTATAAAAGTATCAGGATATTTTTGAATTTCAGCAGCTCTTAAATAATTCACATTTTCTGGATTGCTTAATCCTAAAATATTAGGTATTGAAATATGCCCTTTTCTTCTATCTTTTATATATGAATGAAAAGAAGAAAAAAATCAGAATTTGATGTTTGATAAATAACTTGTGTTAATGTTTTATCATTTCCATAATCTACCCAAACATGATTCCAGGAATTATTGGTACAAGTGTCTTGCCTTCTTTATCTGACATGCCTTTGACTACAATTGTTGATAAAATGAATTTAATAGAGCTGTGTTATGTTCAACAACTGCATGCTTTTCTTTAACCTTCAAAGTGTATGTATCATCTTGAACAAAACACCTTGACCTTCAAATGCCTTATATTGGGGATTTCGTTTGCATAGTTCCTGGTGCCACTTCATATTCTATTAAGATATAACTACTTTCTCATATTAAAAAAATGAAATAAATTAGCAAGAAACTCAAATAAAAAAAGTCTTTTATTAGCATATATATTGAGTCTATAAGAGTATATTTAGTGTTTCCTATATGTTAATTAGTTATTTGAAAATATTTTTGAGCTTTAAGTTAAAAAAACTAAAATTTGTATATAATAATAAGTGGTTTTTTTTGGTTTTGGTATAATTGTGATAATTATGTTTATTTTTATGCATCTTACATATGTAGCATATTTTTTAAAATTGAACTCCAAAAAAATTGGCCATTGTTGATCATATTAAATGTCACATGATCCCCCTTAAAGGCTTTTTTTATTAAAAAAATACAGTGAACTTTCTCTAAGTGCAACCTCGTCAAATGCATTTACTATGTTTTGCTTCATCTGAATGCAAGCCTGATATAGTTCTAAATTATAAAACCTCTACATATTTTACTCTCTATAAATGCAATCCTTCTCTAAATGCATGTAATGATTGATTTTCCGTCAAGTTGCATTTAGGGAGAATCACTAAAATAATTTATATTGATATTAAGGGTAAATCTAAAACACAATGGGCAGTTGTATCATCAAGTTTGAATTTTCCTAATGTTAATATGGTATATTATTAAATCAATGAATTTAATTAATTTGCCCTTCTATTGTTAATGGTAATAGGGACAATAGGGACATCAAATCATTCAAGAAGATTTTGGAATCTAGTAATATAAGTTAAGCGTTAGCATATGTTTACATTTCATATTAAAACTGTTAGTTCTATAAATTTTTCATGTATTTATTGTGTACAATTTTATCTAAAATTTGTTTCCACAATTGAATAAATTCCAATTCTGTATTTTTGTACAATCAGAAATAAGATTTTACAAAGCTCTATTCTCTGAAACTTTTGGGCTTATATATATAATCAAAAAATATAATTTATCTGTATATAAAAATATAATTTATGTCCATATCGTCATCTTTACTGTTACCACTGTCATCACCATTATTGCTGTCTTCTGCATCGTCATCTTCTTCTTTGCCTTCATCATCACCATAGCCACCATTGTCACTATTGTCACCACTGTTGCTGTGTCTTCCCTGTTGTTATAGTTGTTGAAGTTGTCTTTGTCTTCGTAATCTTTTTTTTCAATTTTTGCAGCCGTAACTCCCATCTGAGCAGGATATCATTTATTTCGATGTTGTCGTCGTTTTTAGTGTTGCTAGCTGACTAGTTGTAGTCGCAGCTAAAGATTTTATATGTAGCTGTGACTGGAAATTTTTCAAGTCGATTGATTGGATTCAGCCATAAATTATTACAGTCTTAATGTTACTGTGATATTAGATAGTTGTGGCCAGTGTATAAAATTCGATGTTTGAACTGTTGTTTTGATTGAAATTTTTTTCCAAATTTGTACTAGTTACACAACGAACCTCAAAATTGAGCGTGATAGGTACTATTTATGATCCTATGGAAAGGAAACATCAAATTTCTTAAAATCCCTACTTTAACATAATAATAATAATGTTTTTAAACGCATCAATTCTTTCCCAGCTGGGGCGAGCTTTTTTAAGACATTCTACATTAAATTTTTTTCTGTGAATTTTTTTCTTGGATGACTGGATTTGATTTCAATTATTTGGCAATGATACAAAAAATAGCTTTTAAACAAATAGTGAGGTTAATAATAAATCTACTTTGGAACATTCTAAGCATTT